CTTGATTTTTATATAAAAATGTGCCTCCTATAATCTTCTATCGATTGCTGAAAACCGCAGGTCGCTATAACTTTTCGTTCGAAAGTTATAAGCTTTTTTTCCAAGTGCCTTCCTTTAAAATTCCGATAATAGTCCTCTTTTTAACTATTATTTTTCTTTTTGCACTAACATGTTTAAAGAGAAGAACGTCATGTTATTTCTGTGTCTCATAATAACCAGCAGAAAATATACGTAGCAAGAAAACTGGTACTTATTTCAACTATGATACAAATAAAAGAAATAAAAATACATAATTCTTGAAATAACACTGGCTGATTATTTTAATAAGAGCACGCAAACTTGCTTTAAATATGTTTTTTCAGAGAAAAAAAAATACCATATCTATAAAATATTTTTCAACTAATGGAAACCGGTTGATCCAGATCGGTTACCATTCTGGGTGGGTGTGTGTGAGGGCCAGTTTTCTCTACAACTAAACCAGCACTCACATTCACCCTTTTTCAAAGATTTACTTTTCACTATTTATAATAGAGTCATTGGCACCAAATGAATTAATTGAACATTTTTTAGAATAAACAGAAAAATTTTACCAAATTATTAATAGATCAGTTGTTGTCAAGATTTGTCGATTTTTACTAAACTAATATTCATTACTATTATTTTTCAGTTTTTTTATTTCAATCAATTAAACGAATCAGCTTTAAACTTTTAATATAATTTTATGCATACGACTCTCAAAATGTCATCGACAATAAGTTTGTTTTTTTGTGTACTCAAAAAGTGAGTACACACTAGAATCGGTCAGTATGTCCGTCCGGCCGTTAACACGATAACTTTTGAAAGGAGAGCCCAATCGCGATGAAATTTTCTACACAGTTCAGTCTTAACAATGTCTCGGTCGAGTTCGAATATGAGAAGAATTGGCTGAACCATTCCTGAGTTATTGCAAAAATACTCATTTTTTCCTATGGCTTCCTATGCGAAAATCGACCCATCCTCGCTTTCGTAAAAAACTGTTCCTATCATACTCAAAATAAAACCTCAACTATTATATACCATTCGATAGAGAATTTCACGAGCTACAAAATGATATATAAAACATAAGGAAACAAGAAAGTTAACTCACCTATTGCAAAGACAATTAAACGGAATTCGGTTCTGTGTTTGTCCACGCTCTAATTGATCCATAAATAGAGCTCTATCTTCCGATCACAGATGATAGTTCAAGGTTTTCTGCGATGAAGAACTCGAATCTGTGTTCAATTCGTCTCGAAACTCCATTGATTAAACAGTGACCAATAGAAATCAAGTTATAGGGAAAACGAGTTTCTTAGGGTAAATCAAGCTGAAGAGTTGAAATCTGAGCTGTATCTGCCTCCAAATCCTATTGGTTGAGCAGTAGCCAATAGAAATCAAGTGTTTATAGAAAAGGATTGTCAGGACAATGTTGATGTCCACATATTCTAGAATGACTCCTCTGTCTCATTCACTTTTTGAAATACACATAACTCTCGGATTTAAATCCGAGGTTTCCGCATTCATTTTTGGTTGATACAAATAAATATGTGTCACAATGTATAAATCAATATGAGCTTTTGCAAGTCAACGGTATTTATTTCTAAAACATCATTTTTCTTTTTTTTTTGTCTTCGTTTGTTCGAAAACAATAACAACAACAAAAAAAATCAAAATCAACAATACACTGTTAAGATTGAAAGAAAAGTTTAGATATTTCTTTAGCTAAATTTTGAACACGTACGGAATCATCTGTTGAATCAGTAATTTTTAATTCTTTTCGTGCTTTACTTAACCAAAATTCACGAGTTCGATTATAATATTCATCATGAGTTTCATTTGGTATTGAATCTGGTGCTTCGATTTCAATAGATTCATCTTCCGAATCATCGGATGATGATGATGAAGAATCATCATCATCATCATCATCATTATCTTTCATATTCGCATCTGAATTAAGAAAATAGAAAAACCGAATAAAATCAAAATAATCTTACCATCATCATCATCATCATCAGATGATTCTGAATAAATATGAACATCAGTCTGTTGATTATCACCATGAAGACATGTCCATGTATCAAGTTTATTCAAATTAAGACTATAAAAATCACCTAATGTATACTAAAAGAATTTTCTTATTATTTTTTTTATGATCATCAGAAAAATTTTATATTAATAATCTTTACTTGTTTTTTTTCATCAAGTTCTCTTAAACCACCATAAAGATAAAGTATTCCTTGTTTAACAACAATAGCAGCATTCATTCTTGATGATGGTCCATTTTCTTCAGATTTAATTTCAATTGGATACCATTTAAATTTATGTAAATCAAATCGATAAAGATCATTATAAAAAGCTGAACGCATTCTTGTTGCATCGAATTTTGTTGTTTTAAGAAAAGCACTTGCTGTATTACCAATACCTTCAATATCATTATCAGTAACACCACCAAATAAAATACATGTATTTAAATAACATTGAAGACTACTTCCACAACGTAAATCAGGTTTATTTCCACTTACTTTAACTTGACGACATTGCCATGATGTTTCATCTAACAATAATAAATAATTGAATTAGAGATTTTATTTTTCTTTCTATTTATTTGATTAAAATTATATACCTTGAGTAAGAGCAAAAACATCTGTATGTACAACACCTTTATCATCTGTTTCTTTACTATAACCACCAATAATAAATAATGTTAATCCATCTTGTGAAGTAACAATTGGAGCAGCTGAACGAGGAGTTGGAAGTTGACCCATTGGTTTTAATTGTGTCCATTGAAATGTATCAAGACAGAATGAATATAGATCATTGAAATATCGAAATGTTCTAAAAAAAATAAGAATTAAATAATTTTTCTATTAGAACTTTAGATAACTCCTATTAAAGTCTACAAAGATTCATGTTCAGATTTCTGAACAGAAGCTGTTCATTATGAAAGTATTCAATTTTCTATAACTGAGATTTAAATATTAAAAAAAAAACTAGGTTTCTCAATATTGGTTTCTAACAATAGAAACTCTAATATTTTCATAATTTTGTTGAAAATCCTCGTAGACAATGTTTTACTCTGATTTTCTCTTTCGAAGGACAGATGCATTGCACCCAAGCTGGATAAAATGCTGTTTGCAGGCTTTCTCTAGACTTATTTAATGAAGTCAGACTGATCTTTGAAGTGAATGGACACTGATCTAGAAGAGTTAATGTTGAGTCAACCACAAGATTAACGTATGCAGGTACTGATTATGATAGCACTATGATTTAATTTGTGCGAAGTCATTTCATTGTGGAAATGTAGAATGACATAAAAATTGAATTTATTGTTAATTGGATTTTTTTATTTGTATAAATCTGGAAACCTATCTATCATGAATTATTTTTCTCAAAAACAAAAAAATGTTTAGACTAGCTATTAGTTCTAATGACGTCGTATTATTTAGAATTTCTATCAAAAATAGAATAATTCTAGAAAAGTCATTTTTCATATTACTCACTTCGAATGGGTAAAAAATGATTTATGTTGGCATCAAAAATGCTACTACTTTCACATCTGTAATCAAGAAATTTTTAAAAAATTACTCCGCAAATAGTTTATATCCATAGTAGTATATATATCAACCTGACAAACATCAGAATAATCCACCTATACACCGTTTTTCAACACAATAAATCTTAATCAATGAACGAAGAAAAAAAAAAGTTTCATTTTTTTTTTTTACAAATTCTTAACTAATTAAATGCTCGACATAATATTAGGGAACTGTATCGATTTGATACTTTATTATTTCAAATAGATAGTTTCTATGAATGACTCAACAGAAGTAAAAAAAAAAAAAAAGGATGAAAAATCTTACGTTATATAATCTTGAAAACCTCCGAATAAAAATAATTTTCGTTTCATTGTCGTCATTCGATGACCACTACGTCCTGATGGTCCATTTGTATCTGTAATTTGTTTTTCCCATCGTAATGTAGATAAATGAAGAACATATAAATCATTATAATGATAAAATTGTGATTGTGATGGTGATGTATATTCACCACCAAACATCCATAATTCACCATCACGCATTGATACACTAACTGCCTTTAATTAAATAATAATAAATTACGAACAATATAAAATTCTATTCAACCTGATGACTTGAACGTGGTGGAGGTGGTTGAGGAGTTTGTACTCGTTTCCAATGTTGTTTTTTTATATCATAAATATATAACTCATTAAATAAAATTGTTGTACGTCCATCAAAAAATTCTCCTCCAAATAATATAAGTTCATCTTTAAGTGGATGTTCAGTAAATGAAACATTTGCTCTACAAAAAAAAAAAAAGAAAAATATTTAAATTTATTAATCAAAATAAATTTAACCTTCTTGAAGGTGGATTTTGTGTTGGCTCTTCAATTATAACTGCTTCTATTGAATTATCTTTTCCAATATGTTTTGTAATTAATTGTTCAATATTTTCCTAAATGAAACGAAAAAAAAAAACAAACAATTGATAATTTAGAAAATTAAATTTTACTTCTCCTAATTGTTCAATTTGTTTTTGTATTTCTTTTTCAGTTTTCTTTTTAGCTTTTGTTGCTGTTTTTTGTACAGCAGCACCTTTTTTCTTTCGATCTTTATTTTTACCCATTTCCAAAAAAATAAAATAAAATAATTTCACAATACGAAATAGAAAACAATATATCGAGCACCATCTATCATTAATTTTTATATCTATATATTTAAAAAACAAAGTCATTTTTTTTTTGTATTTTATTTTATTTCTCTATATTTAATTTTTTCTTTCCTTTAATATTTAATTTTTTTTGCATAAATCAAAATTATTCGACATCTTTCAAAATCATCATTAAGGAGTTTTAATCACCATCTGTCAATATGGTTATGACATAAAGACCTTAAAACAAAATCGATTTGTATTCATTACTAATAATAATTGTTTTGTACGGTGATTAAATTAACACCGTCGGCATGTTTTATACACATGCTATATTAACTAAACGTGGTCCATTAGCACGTCTTTGGCTTGCAGCACATTGGGATAAAAAATTAACAAAAGCACAAATATTTGAAACCGATATACGTCTTAGTTGTGAATCAATACTTGAACCATGTTTAAAATTAGCCTTACGTACAAAAGGACATTTATTACTTGGTGTTGTAAGAATATATTCACGTAAAACAAAATATTTATTAGCTGATTGTAATGAAGCTTTTATTAAAATAAAAATGGCATTTCGACCTGGTATTGTTGGAATTGAAGGTACAAATAATCATATTAATCAAGATTCTGATACAAGAGAAGTTTCAATAGCTGCAATAACATTACCTGAAAATTTTCATGATTTTGATTTAATTGATCTTAATATTGAGTAAATTTTATAGAAAGAAAAATGAAAAAAAAAAAATTTTTTTATTTTAATATTTTAGTTATATTGATGATCCATCACGATTTCATATTCATCAAGCACGTGCAGAAGAAATTACATTAAAAGAAGATTTTATTAGTGTACCTATGCCAGTTGATGATGATTTTGGTAAAACGAATGAAAACAAAGAATTATTGAAAAAAAAATTTTCGATTATTATTTAGGTGATACGAATGGATTTGATGAACCTGAATTATTTCGTAAACAACTTCAACCATCACTTCATTTGAATAGACAAAATTCATCAAATATAGATTTAGATAGTATGAAGAAAAATCTTTTCTTTTTTTTTTTTATAATTCTAATAATTTCTATTCTAATTAGATACAAATATACGTAAAGATCAAAGTATTGCACGACCATTCAGCGATGATCCATTTGCATTGGATGGATTTGGAGATTGTATGTTTCGAAAAAATTTTTATTGACATGTATACTTGAGGAGAACTAATAGAGGAAAATATTCTTCATTAGAGATATGACTTCGCAAAACTAAAATACATGTATTTCGGGATAATGAACTTTCCTAGAACTAACTTTTATATGTTAAATTATTCTAGATATTTTGAAAAAACTACGTAGTAGAGTACGAATATAGAATTGAACAAAAAAGAGATGCTCTTATAATCGAATGAGAAATCTTTAGAAAACTAGTTTTTAAAAAAGGAAGTTTTTTGAATATAGATGTGATCCGTGCTATAGATCTGAATCTTTGTCTCATATGATTAGAGAGATAGTTTTAATTAATAGTCAGCTGAAAGAGTTAATATTTTTATATATGTCTATGCTAAGAGAACTTATTGAAACAAATCATCCTTGTAAAGAATGAAAGATGGAAATATCACACATGTAAAGTGATGGAAAAAAGTTTAGAAACAACAATTTTTTTGGTTTTTTTTCATAATGTTAAGCACGTAGTTCCAATCCAAATAGTGATTTTAATAGCCAATGAAGTTTTCTATCCAATACAGTTTATAGCAAGATAAACAATGATGGCAAGGTTCCTAAAAAAAAACAAACACGGTATTTTTCACGTTCTAGAAGGCTTTGTCAGAGCTATTTTTGAACAATGCCATCTTAAAGAGCATAAAATTCTGGGCAAAATCAGGGGTCACTAAGTTTTATACAAACTCCTCATAAAAAGTTACAAAAATCATGAAAAAACGAAACTTTATTAAAAATCAACTAAAAACGCCTTTTCTATGCTTCTTGTAATGCTTGTAGCTTTTTACGAGACGTTCGTATAAAACTCGATGACTCCTCATTTTGTTCAGAATTTTGTGCTCTTTAAGATGGCATCGTTTAAAAATAGCTCTGACAAAGTCTTCTAGAACCTGAAAAATACCATGTTGAGTTTTTTAGGAACCTTGCCATCATTGTTCATCTTGCTATAAACTGTACTGGATTGAAGCTACGTGCTTAACATTATGAAAAAAACCGTTGTTTCTAAACTTTTTTCCACCGTTTTACTATTTTTAAAAGCTTGACATAGAAAATTTCATATAATACTAATGATCTATGATCAATGTTTTCTTAAGCGTTGAAACAGGAAGGAGACTACGTCCTTTTGGAAATTGAGTTTGCTTTTTCGGAGTTTATGGTTATTATACTACACCGGATAGCATTGATTTAGCCGAAAAAGACAACGTCGAATTAGCTTTTGCTACATAAAAGAAATGTTTCCAGATGTTGTTAAAAATTTTTCATTATTTTTTGTGAAGATTATAGAGAAATAAAAGATACTTCAAAAATGTATAAATATTTTCATCTAACATTTTTTGACAAATATAAATAATTTTTTTTTTAAATAGTCGGAGAATGAATAGCATGAAAAGTCTGTCAGTTTTTTTTTTTTGGAAAATTTTTTGCAGGTTGAATAGAAAGTGAATATTTTTCGAAGGTCAATACACTAGTACAATCTAACAAAGGATTCTTTTTTTCATTGAGATACCAAGTTTAGAGTTAAAACATTTGAATTATTCTTTAATATTGAAGAATTCAAGAAAATTTATCATAGAATTTTACTTTTTGTATTCAAAATTTTTTTAGTTGCTGCACCTGCTTCAGTAATTGGTATTGGTGGTGATAATTCAAATTTATCAAATGAAAAAGATCAATATGATCATGTTATGTCACCATTTCATCGTACGTTTAATTATTTATATTGAAAATAGAAATTATATTTTTTGCAACTTTCACAGAAGATGAAAATGTGCCTGAACTACCAGCAATTCATGATCATGAAGCACCAATTCGTGAACAAAATCAAGGTAAGAAAAATCTATTCGAGAATTTTGAAACAAAATATTTCTTCATTTTTCGATTAATTCAAAGAATCGATAAAAATTTTAAAACTATAAGAAGATCTATAAAAATGCCTGGAAATAATATTTGGATAAGTTTTCTATTAGACATCTATCAACTCAATTATGCTGATCCTTTGAATCTATCGAAAAATGAATAAACATATCTAGCGAAAGGATGCTGCCACCTCTCCGAGAAGTGTTCATCCTTTCAGACGAATTGTTTTATTTTAAAAATAATAAATTGATTTGTTTTGTTTTTTATATAAAATTTAGCTGATGATGATAATCGTATGGATATTGATGCTATAAATCAAGATTTACAAGCTAATCCAGGTGTTGATGATACAACACTTGTATCAAATGCTTCAGATGAATTTATTTTACCACCTATATCAACAACCGGTAAAATTAAAATTGAAAAAACTAAATAACTTTTTTTTTATTCAAATAGCACAAACACCTGCAACTCGACAAGCTATAAAACGTAAACGAAAATTAGTTGTTGATGAAGTTAAAGAAATTGATAGTACATCAATGAAAACACAATTAAGTGATACAACAGATATTGTTGGCGTACTTGAATTAGCACCACCAACACGTCGTTTAATGCATTTAAAAGAAACCGGTGGAATTGAAAAATTATTTTCTCTTAGTGCTACATCTATATATTCAAAAACATTACAACAAGTAAAAATAAAAAAAAACACGAAAAATATTAAACTTTTTTTTGTTTTTTTTCATTCTTTTAGTTAATCACACGTAATATGGTTACAAAATCATTAGATCAAATGCCACCTGATAATTATCAAATTCAACATGATCTTGCTATGGAACAACTTGAACGTGAAAAAGATGATACATCAATTGAACATATACGTGGTGCACATCATCATTATCTTGAAGTTTTAGGTCATGATTCATCAAATCGTTCTAAAAAACGTAGTTTATCACCATATGATGAATTAAATAATGATAAACGTCAACGTTTAGATACAATTTTACCAGATGATTCATTATTTTTTCCACCAATGACAACATCAATGGATAATCTTATAGATGTTATACCTGGACCAATGTCACCAACACGAAAAAGTGGACGTAAAGTTCATGAACTTAATCAAACACCATTATCACCATCACGTACACCAGTTAATACACGACGTAAAAAAGGTATGGGCCATTTAACAAAAGAAAATCATGAAGAACAAGAAGATGATGATGATGAACATGGACAAACAACAACAGCTCAAGAAGTATGTTTTTTAAAGAAAACATGCATAAAGAAATTCAATTTTGAGAATAAGCATATAAGAGAAAATACTACTGAAATTATGAATTTGATAGTTTTTTTGATGAAGTTTCAATCTCATATGTAAATTACCAATCGCTTGTTTAATTTAACAAGATATAAGTCCAATCTATTTGTTAGCATATTTACTTTATTCATCGTTCACGCTTATCTTTCAACCAATTTTTAAAAACTTACAAAATCATATATTTTTTTAAAGCCAAACAAAGATTCGACCAGTTGAAAAATTCTCAAATATATGATATTTGCAGTCCGCATAAAAAAAACTGACGAGGGAGATACTCGAAATGTTCCCTCAATTTTGAGCTAATATTTTGTCCACAAGTAGACTTTAATGTCAATAGATAAAGCCTACAAGGATTCGTGCCCATGGACTGTTGAAACTGGCTTATGATCATTCCACTGGATTTTCGATTTCAGACAAGGCAAAATAAAACGATGATATTTTGTCCATGAAGAGACTCCTCATGATTACTAGAATGTTCTAAAAATTTCAATCAAAACAGATGCTTTATCGTTAAGATATTGGATGGTTAAAAAATGATCATATGTCACGGAAAAGTCAAAAAACTGAATAGTTTTGAAAATTCAATATTTCAAGGATAAAGCATTCGCTTTTACTCAAATTTTTAGAACATTCTAATAATCATGAGGAGCTTCTTCATGGTAAAAATACCATTGTTTTATTTTGCCTTGTCTGAAATCGAAAATCCAGTAAAATGGTGATAGGTCGACTTCAACGGCTCATGGACATGAATCCTTGTAAGCTTTGGCTATTGACATTAAGGTCTACTTGTGGACAATATATTAGCTCGAAACCGAGGGAACATTCCGGGTATTTCCCTCGTTAGTATCAAATTGAATCCATCTTGATAGAATGAATTATTAGAATAATGATCAAAATCTCATGAAACTAACCGATGATCGAAAAGTTTTTCGACAAGATGTTTATTCACTTTTAACTCAGTAGAAAATATTTTCGATGAATTAGAATCAGAATTTTTGTTTTTCTCGAGTATGGACTTGAAAATTTTCACTGCAACCATTCGAAATCAAAAGTTGAGATCTTTATTTATATATCAACACGTAGATCAGAAGCTACTCTAAAAAATGTATTAATTGAAATTTCTTTCTTTATTTTTCGACAAGACATTTCCATTTTTCGTTTTATATTGAAAGAAGCTCTTGACAATATATTTGTAGTCTCACTTAGATACAATTGACTCCAACAATTTTAAGCATGTTCATAAAAGTAAATAAACATCTTGTCGTTAATAATATGATTGAATAGAATTAGCCAACAAAAAATCCTAATGAATCGATTTGATTTCTTATGTATTATTTTCTCTTTTAATTAATTCAAAAAAAAAAAAGAATAAAAATTTTATTTAGGATTTTGAATCGGGTAAAAAATTAAATCGTCGTGCAAAAATCATGCTCAATGCATTTGAACGTGCATTTGATTCAGCTGATGGACTTTCATTTCATGATCATTTATCATCGGGTAATCCAAATTATCATACAAGAAAATTAACAGCACAAAAATTTTATACATTATTGGTATTAAAAAAAATACAAGCTATTGATGTTGAACAAAATCAAGCATTTGAAGATATTACTGTAACACCTGGTGTAAATTTTCATCAATATATAACAAGTGGTGGAAGATGAGAAGAAGAAAAATATCGATCTTGTCAGATGTATATGTTTTATGGAGGACAAAAAAAAAAAGAAAAAACAAATGTCTATGGTATTGGTCAAATGAAATTAAATCTTCTATGCTTTTTTTTTCTTTCCTTTACGAATAGTTTTCTTTCATTTAATGTGTGCATGTATATTGTACATATTTATTTCAATGTATTATGTCTTCGATTGTATGATAATACTCATTTCATTATGTTTCTAAATAGTTCCATCGTTATTTAAAGTTTGTCTATTAATTTATATTGTTGTTGTTGTCTTCTAAATCTTTGTGGATGATTTTCTTTTTTTTTTTGCCATTCTTTATTTCTTTTTCTTTTTTCTGTCTTCTGGTTTATTGATACCTTTTTTTTTTCTTTTGTTCTGTGTTCTCATAATTGTATTTTTTTTTCTGCATTAGTTGGACTATCATATTGATATGGTGGATGATTATGATGTATTACTTAAAAAAAAAAAAAGGACAACTCAAAATAAACATAAATCGAATTTTTTTAATCAATTACCATCTAGAAAATATATCATAAAGTAATTTTTTTGCCGTTTTTTTTTCTCAAATACTTCCAATAATATATCTTTTATAGTTTTTCTCAAGATTGTCGATATTGAGATATCATTTATTGATAATTATGAAAAAAACATCAGTTGTTGAGATTTATCAATGAAATGATTGAAAATTATGTGTTGTATGGATTGGAGAGACGTGGAAGGCCAATTTTAGTTTTAGTCCTGATCAATTGAGACTAGGATCAAGAGAAAAAAAGTTGCTTCAATTGGAACTAAAGAATACAGTTAAATATTGATAGTTTTAAACGAATTATCTTATGAATCATTAATCAGAATATAATTCAAGAGAGATGATCGAAAAAAGAGGACTAGTCTTCGACTAAATAAATAAAAAGTAAATATTGAAGAATTTTTTTTAGATTTGATACAAATATATTCTGGAATAGTTTTCTCTAGATAGGGTTGCTACTAGAGAAACTAAAATCACCAGCGTCGGCATCGAGATTAGACCGAATTTACCGAGACTATTACCTGAATCAGACTGAAACTGAAGAAGCTTATTTTCGCACATCTCTAGTCTGAATATTTGAATGCGTCAATTGAAAAATTTAGTTATTAGATTCACAATTAAATCATCATGAGTTATTCGTAATCTCTTTTACAAGGATTCTGAACTCACAGATGAACTAGTAGAGATTTTGGGCTTGAAGCCTTATGACATTTCTGTAAGTTTTTCGAAACCTTGAAGTCTGCTTTTTCGTCCTCATTTGAACCAGATGATCGAAAAGATCTACCTTTCGTAGACTTACAAACACACTCTGGCGGTCATCATAGACTGTGATAGAAGACTTCAAGGAAATATCAGAGATAATGCATGAGTAACATATGATTGAACCATATATGGAGTATTATCCTGTCCAAGCTCTATAATGTAAAGTAAGCCATGATGAAGAAATGTACCCAATATGCGTAAAAAGCAATAGTTTTTAGAAGATTGGCAACAGCAGCTGCATCATGTTTCACATTTTTAATCCCACAAGGGATTGCGCTAACAGCTTTTTAAATTAATAATATTACGATGATTACTGAATGCAAGTAGAAGACTATTGTTATAGCAAAGCAATGAAGTTATGTAAATGTCGATATTATTCTCGAAAATTAGTCGAGTACTTCAGTTTCTTCTTGTGCCAACGAAAGTCAATGTTGAGTAATCATATAATAGAAAGTCATGAAATATCTATAGGAAAGGAAAAAACAAGGCTGACAAAATGAAATCATAGTTAAGGTAATGAGTCATGCATCTTTATCAATTGGATAAAAAAATCAGTGAGAAAACAATAAAAACGAGACTGATTTTGACTTCAATCATATTCAATACAGTTTTTCAACAACGAAGATCGGTAGCAATTGAGTCTATAAGTTCTATTCTGATTAAGAAAATTCTAATTGACAGCATGGAATGATATTGTTCTATTTCCAGGAAAAAAACTCAAATGAACTGACTATAAGAAAAATATCATGAAAATTTAATTCAATGCTGTGAGAAATAAATGCAGAGAATTGATTTCAATATAAAAAGAATATAGAAATGAACTGTATAGTTTTTCGATTGGATCAACTAATTCATCTTATTACTGTTAACTATTTGCAAATGCTTGATTGAATAAGTTGAATATCAGTATTGATGACTAGCACTTTAACGTAGATATTTTCATTTCTCGTTCACTTCTAAGATATATACCTAAAATGAATGTTAACTAGCTCACAAGGGTGAGGGTGAAGAGATCGGTAGCGGCACCAATATAAGCTGAAAACACTGAAAAATAATGAAAAACTGATGTAAAAATTTTCTCTCGAACATTGATCTGATCAATTTTTATGTTTCAGTCATTGTTAAAACATCAGTTTGATCGAGTACGTTCTCATCAAGAGTCAACATCAATCAAAATAATGAGCTATCTTCAACAGTTCGCTTTGAAGTATATAAATAAGGTCATTAGAGAAAAAATGCCTCAAACAAATCTAAAAATTCAAATCGTCATTAGAAGACCACCAAATGATGAAAAAGCATTAGCAAAAAAAAACTATGTTTGATTTTTTGTTTATCTAATATTGTTTTCTTTCTTCATAAACAAGAACCGTCTAAAATCATTCGAATTAGTACAGATAATTGTGTATACTTTTCAATTTTCGAGAGAAGATAATCGAATTGTATTTTAGAAAAGTTTTATATCCTGATAATGGAATCATATTGATCTCTGTAATTATAACAATGCAGTGCTTCGTCAAATAAGTTCGAATAGTGAAACTTTTAAGACTTATTCTCTTTTCTTTCATTCAAAATCTAACAATTTTGTTGATTGGGACTGAACGCTTGGTCGAATATATCAAAATATTGCTCTCAACTAGAATACATTTATGTATACTATTTTAAAACCCAATATTACTCAATGTAGGCTTTCCGAGGACGTCACTTCTCAAAGAGAATCGATGGTACATCGCTTACAAAATGATGAACTTCTATGGGAATCAATGCCATTGCTGTTTCTCTTCGGATATTTCATTGAATGCAACAATTGAATAGAATGATCTATAAAAGTTTTTGTCGTTCTTAGCCTATTGGTGATTCAGAAATAGTTGAACGAAGAGTGCGCATAATAATACTTTCAATCGTTAAGAGTGTATAGATAGATGAGTACTCATGATTCTTCTCTTTTCGTACGTTCATTTGTCGTAACCCATTCATTCTCGGATCAAACTTTAAAAGGCTTTCAATCGTCCTTTGACAAAAGTATGAATAAATAATTTTTTCTTTAACATACTCCGACGTTATTATTGATTGCTTTTGTTGCCGAATTTATAGTGATTCTAGATGATTCGTATTAGTGAAGAAAGAAATTCAAGATGTACAAACAAAAAGAATCAAACATCCCATTAGTTAATAGATGTGAATCCCGAACTGTTATACTAACAGTGATCTGAATACCCATATTGCATTTAGTTACTTTTTCTCTAATTGCAACACAAAATATGTGTAGTAAGTTTTGAGCTCTGTCATCTTTGTCATGTTATTACGTAGCTAATAAATGAAAAAATACTCCGATTAATCATATATATATTTATTATCTTTATCTATTTCATATCGCAATTCAAGACTTTTAATCCTGATTAAAGCGTCTTAACATTTCATAGAAAATTTTGGATTATAGTTCTAGTAAGTATTAGTTCAATTAATGTTAAATAAGGTTGCACGACATTTTTTGAAGGACAGTCGATAAAGAATTGTTAAGTATATAACCAAAACAAAATTGAACTGCTTTTCTGTCGACATCACCCTATACGCCATAACAGACAGACTTTTACATTTGAAGTGGATCCATTATACTTCACATTTGAATTTTGCGCAGATGAAGTAGAAAAGTTTGTATTAGAACTACAACTTGAAAATTCATGGTTTCATGGAGAAATTGAAGCTTGATATGATGAATAAGAACAAAATTCTTGGTTAAAACTTATCTAAAATGTGGTTGATCTTATGTTTAAGATTCAAAAGATTTTTCTCATTAGATCTATCGATCTCTTTGAAATTCGCTGCTTCTTACATTTTCGTCATAGGTTTCATCAAAATTCTGTGGAACATACAATGGCACTTTCACCATATAACTTATCTTGAAGACTGAAGAAGTGTCATTTTAGACTTGGAGCTGCGTTCTTTACCAGCTGATTGAGCTCGAGTTTTATAGATATATTCATAGTTTTTCTGGTTATATCACGCATGAGAATTTTGAAAAATGTGATCTTAATTAGATTGAAATGTTATATCTTTCAGAACTTCTGATAAGTCGGATAATCAGAATTTTTCTATCCAGAGAAGATTTAAAAGATGCGACAGTCTTTTTCAAAAATGAGGACAGTTGTAATTAACTGCATCTTGCTCTATCTTTTTGTTTCGAATATTTTCTAAATTCTTTTATCTACATGAAATTTTCTGTTCTTCTTCCATTTTTACTATATTGCTTTTGTTCACGTTTGCTGTTATTTCGTCTTGTCTTAGTTCTGGTTCGTTTGGCCTTCACATTCAGTCTGTCAAAATTCATCATCAGAATATGTGACTATACTTTTAAAACTTTTTTCTGATCTGAAATAACACTGCTTGGCTTTTTCCGGTCGGGGTTTTTCTATTTTCTCTTGATGACGATAAATTTTAGTATTTCTATATAGTCATGCTACCTTATTCATGTCTTTGTCTACGAAGAGATTTACGGAGCCTATGTGTAGCTTCAATTTTTAGAACTTGGGATACTCTCGAAAGATTATAGTTTTGTAAAAGTAGCATGACATTCGCCTTTTGCTTTTCTCTCATTGAGGATATACTGTGCGTTAAAAACAATTTGTATTCAAGAAAAAATACCCATATTTTCAGAATTCAGATCGTTTTTATCCGATCATAAGAAGGAGAGAAAATATCTTTTCTAATCTAATATTAAGATGTTTGTTCGAAGAGCAGTTGATGTAGCGCGAATACTGCAAAGGACTCATCTTTTTCTTTTTTCTGTTGTCGTGATATCTCGCTTGGCTGACCCGATAATCAAGTGATAAAGACAAGACGTAACACGTATTCATAAGAGAGAAGAAAAATTAGCTTTGCATTTATTTCTTTGCCTTAGTCTAAAAATTTCGACAAATGATGAATACGAGAAAAGTGGCTCCTACTGATTATTACGAACGTCATACGATGCCTCGAAAAGTTCGTATGCCCTGTTTATCTACTTGGATATGAAGATAATTATTTTATATTATTGAACATGTAGATCATCGAAAAGCGACCAGCACGACCAAAAACAATATCCTCCAAAGGTTTCGGTATTAATATGTATACAGCTGGCGAATTTGCATCGACTAGAAGCTCAACATCTGATTATGATGAATATGAGTCCAATAATCGAAGAAGAGGCGCTGCAGGCTCGTGAGTTGCTGCAGCAAGAAGTGAAAGATTCTCTATTTTCGTTTCTTCAGACTAACATGTTGCTGCCTATGTTGTATGATAAGCGCAATCGTATTATTAGCAGCTGGTCTCATCGTTGCCCTTGTATTTCTATTTATGTTAATGCATGCTCAAACGAACAATTCAAGTGGTGGGTACATGAGCGATATCTGAGAACCCAGAAATTCGAAGTTAACTTTACTAGATAGCTACTTTGCTAGAAACAAGAATTAATTTCAGGTGTCATTATCCCGTAACTAGTAACTGAAATGATTATCCGTTAAAGATTTCTAGTCAGTTGGTACCCGTAACTCATTCAGTTGCCAATTAACAATAGCCAGGCCACTTCGTATCCATTATTTAGAGATATTAGTAGAATACGCCATCACACACTAGGATGTGAGTGAAGAAAATACGTGCACCCACATCCTATCTTACATATGATGCTTTTCCTACACGTAATGCTAGCTGTTGCTTACGACAAAAGATCAGCCTGAGTTAGAGTCATTTCGTTTGGTTATCTGAGTTCCATGTACATCAATATGTGAACAGTAGACTATCGGATAAGTAATACGAGGCAAGAAGTCGTAAAAGACTTGCCCAGGGTTATGCTATATCTAATAGCGCCAAGTTCTGAATACGGTACTTCGGAAGCATGTGTAAAACAACTTACAAGTTTGTAGAATCTAAGCTAGATAAACATTTGTTATCTCGATAGCAGTGACATCGACGGCTAACACAACTACTGGATCAGCAACAACAACTGTTAATGCGAATACTACATCAGCACCAACAACTGTTAGTGCGGCTACTACATCAGTATCAACAACTGTTAGTGCAGCTACTACATCAGCATCAACAACCGTTAGTACGACTAATGCAGGTGAGTGAACGAAGCTTTTTGGATGAACTTTGAGTCAAATATGAACGATCTTAAACGATACGACTATAGTAGCAATACAAGCTATATTCTCTATAAATTTTGAATCACTAGCAACTACTAATAAGACAGAAAATAACACAGAAATGCTAATATTTCGCAAATTTTTTGAGACTTTGAGTGCAATTATAATTAGCTTTCAATAACAATGCATGTTTTAACCAATTATCATTGATTTTCAATAAATAATTTATGTGTGCAATGGGATTTACATCTATTTTCTGCATCACAATCGATTTTTGAGGGACAAAGTGAAATATGTGGATGTAGTTCTCTTTCTCTTCACATTTCTCAAATAAAAAAAAACTCGATAGAAATAAAAAGTATCTAGTTCGAATCTCAGGATAACCCAGAAAATTGCGGCTCTAGTTCAATGAAAACGAATGGGAGTTCTATAATAAGCGACTCTTTTCTTAATAAATCTACATAATTCTTTAAGATCATTGATGTAAATTTTTTATGCTTTGCATGAATAGAATTCGAAAGGATGCTTAGCGAATTTTATAGAGATTGAAGAGAGCTACAAAAATGAAGCATGCAGATTTCACATTTCATTGTGTTGAAATAATCAAAAGACTATTTTTGCTATTTTTTACTGTAGACCGAACGAAAAAGTTGGTTGAGCCTTTTTTCTATTATTGAGTACGGTTAACGTCACAATGTTATTGGTTGATCAATTTTAGTTTCTCTATCTACTTGTAAAGTATCAGAAGTTTAAAATATTTTGATGAATATGTCATCAAATACTTCTCACGCTAGAAATCATGTAAAACACAAAATGGATCACAAGAACATCATATTAACACTCCTATCAATGGGATATTCCTCCGAAATATCTTAATACTGTAGTTGTCACGAACGAAAAGTTTTTGAAATGAACAGACACTGAACTTTATTTATGTGTATAATATAAGTTTGTTTTTCATTATAGAGAAAACTTACTGATTTCATATAAGAACCTCAAAAAAAGAGATTCTATGAGAGGAAAGAAGATAGGACACTTGCCTTTTACTACATCTTGTTCATCTTAACAAGCAAGTCATATATGTACATATCATTGGAGGTTGTATATAGAAATGACTATGCACAATAGTATTATTCACGTACACACGAACTATCAGCATCTAGAAGTAACTTAGACTGACTGGAGTAAAATTTTATTCAACTGTGCGAGATTGTTTTTCATATTTGATGTTATTTATTTGTTTCAAATATTCAAAATTCTTTTTTATTGGAATATGAACGAGTTAGCCATTGGCAATAAGCAATTGAATTTGGTAGCAACCACGTCTATTTTGTTTACAACTCCAAATCTCTTTATCATCGAATAATCTTTTGATAATGAATACATAGCTATTCGAAATGTATATAAGTTTTTCTTTCATGGTGATAATCCTGCAATGTATGACGAATATATTATTGTTGAGAAAGATTTATACAGAATCAATCAATCATCTTTTCTTGCTTGACAAACTTAACTTCTTACTTATATCATCAGACGAGAAAAAACAAAAATTGAACTTCGTAAACATTTATTTCTTCATAGTTTTTATTTCAGTATTTGACGACATTTCTATGTACCTACTAACCTTGAATTTCACTCATTTTATATGGAAAGAACGAAGTTAAAAGTATTGAATAGACATAAAAAGATTGTTCAACGAAATGGGAAAAAAAGCAAAAAATAAGAAAAGGGAAAAACTAACCTTGCTAGTGAGTATTCTCATACACTGCTGTCGAGTCAGTGTATACTGACAGGAAGGACAATATTGCAGTGCCTGACTTCGAGTAGATTTTTCGAATAATCAATTGTGAGTTTTACAAGATTCCTAACGACTGAAGCACATGATGATGCATTCATCAAAGTATTCCAAGTGTCTAATGCCATATAAGTAGACAGAAAAACACAAACCGATCAATCAATAATATTTTGATATTAATCAAACTCTGTAATAAACAGATAAGTTCAATTAACTTATAGACTTTGTTCGGTCCACAGTACGACATAACAAAGTAGCTTTTTACTACTTTATGATTGTAAATAGTTCAATCGAACGTTTTTGTTGTTTGTTTTCACAGGTGGTGTTAGTGTATCGAAATCTGCAAGCAACTATTATAACCTGGAAAAAGTCACCATTAGCTGTTTGACCACTTGGACGAACATTTTTATCCAGATCATTGTACAAAAGACTGTCAATGCAACATACCAGGGTTTTTCCAATCAATTTAACCCCGCGGATGTAAGTTTTTCGTATGTGGATAACGGTACACAGATCATCTATACATGGACAATTGTTAGTGGACAAAATATCACCTGCTACAAAAGTTCATTCGAACTCGAAGCCCAATTTATGTTGAATAATCAATACCAGATATTCAGCGCTGATACCTATCTGGTAACAGCAACGACGATTGACGGGGTGACCAGCACATATTCGGGACATTTTTATTGAGAAATATTCAATATTCATATCTCATGCTCGTCTTTTATTCATTATAAGACAAAGAAAATAAACCATTGACACTGAATAAAGCGATAACTTCCCTTGCATTTTAAAATAAATCTTGAGCTGACTTCAATTTCGCCTATTTGTATTTAGTTTATTCTAAAAGAATTAACAAATCAGCTGCTCACTTTTCTTCAATATAATTAATATGTTGATTAATATCTTTCAAGTGTCTTCAGACATCTCTAATAGCTCGATAAGGAATAGAGCTTGCATTTTCATTAGTTTATGAAGCTGATGTTACTCTATATTTCTGTTCAGAAGACACAAAAAATCATTTCTGACTACACGTCTTGTGAATTTTCAAGATGATCTTGTCACATTCCGATGTTATTATCAATTTTCAATTCAAATATGCACATTCTACGCAAGATCGATGTCAATAATTATTTTTCGTTTATCAAATGGACGATTGCCGTCGTGTTCTATTCTTAACCATATGAGCGCAAGTGTGATAGGACTTGAAATGAAAAGCTTCGTTTGTGTATTGATATTGTATAAATAGATAAAATATTCCATATGATAATTAAGCAAAAGTAGTTTTATCATGTATTGAAATTTGTAATCAGTATGAAGCGATAATCCCGTGATCACGTATTTTCACATTACTTATCAGTTTATTGCTCGAAACTGGCATGAATATAAATTAGGAAATCAGAAAAAAATCATGTATTTATTTTTAAGCAAATGAAAAGCATACTTTGTATTTTGTGTATCTATATGCAGAAACACTTAATCAACATTTTATTACATTTTATTCTTTTCTAACGAATACATTGAATGTGAAGTATAATGTAGATCAGGATTTATGAATATCTACCTTGTTTGTTTTACTTAGATAAATAGCATGAAGATTATTAATGCATAGTAGAAGAGAACAGAAAAGAAACGATGCTTACAGCAACTTTCTAATTTTATGGATAGAGATAAGTGTCTAATTTACAGCCAGTCCAAAACAGTATTGGGACATCCTCGTGCTTTCTCGTATATTGGAACAGAAATAATAGATAAGATTTTAATTTTTGCACTGTTGATAGCTTTCACCTTGCATCAAAACTTATGATAAAATCGCCTCTTTTTCCTATCATCTCAAATCGTTGCTATTTATTTAATAAAATACCCTGTTTTTCAATATTTCCGTGCATTCTTAAAATGGGTAGTTGTAGGTTTTTATTATCTCATATAAGTGCTGTCTTTACGTCGATTCCTTTTAGACACATACCATTCGATAGAGCGTCATATGTGCTACAAAATAGACCAGTCTTCATTCGAAATAGACCTGAGAGGATGTGGGTTGAGTGTAACTACACCGACACCCATACCCACACCATAGTTTTTGATAATATTTTTCAAATACTTTCCTATGTGTTGAAAAGTCGAATCAGGCTAATTTTTAGTCAGCTAAATGATATACATTTAAAGTTTGGTTTCAAAGCCTTTAGACAGTCCTAAACAAGATGAGGATATCAATTTTAAAAAAAGCTAAATTTTGACAAGTGGTTCGATATCAGAACTGATCAACGATATTCTTACAAATCATCTCATGATCTATTTCTATATATATTTGATTAAAGTTATATTGAGTAATACTTTAAATATTGTTTTAAATCAACATAAATTATTAAAAAAAGTGTATAAGTGTATAAACATTTGCAATGTGAATACTAGAAAAACTTTTAGAAGAATAAAGCATATATTTACTGCTAGAATTTGATATATTTTCTTTTGAAATATAGAAAAAACGCTAATATTTAATCTTTCTTTGTTTCGCATTTTGTCAAATCAAAAACGCGACGATCCGGATTCAGTGCATCTTGTAGAGCAAGTGATTCTCTACAAAATCCTATATATGGTTATGCTCTGTAATTCCAATTTTTCGAACATTTTTTTAACTCAAGAAAACATGCTTTGGTATAGTCAGTGTATTGCTTTCATGAAAAGACAATATTATCAAGATATTGACAAAATCGCAATATTTCGTAGTCAAAATGTAGCCGCCGAGACCAGGAGCAATCAGAATATGTATGATACATATATATTATAAAGACTTTAAGTATTTATTTTGAAAATTTTGAAAGAAGTTTATAAAAAATGATTTTTCTGAAAATTATAGAATTTTCATGCTCGATATGTTCCTATTTATTAATGAAATTTAGAAAACTGGTTCTGGCAATTTTCATATTTCAATGTGGTCTACAAATCTTGAAAGTTTCATCGAATTCGGAAATACTCAATGTGAACGTGGTAGAAATACCATGAAATATCCCATGTGTACTGATAATGTTCGAACCAATCCTAGGGTTCTTGGGGACGCTCTATTGCTTGGTGGGTACATATCTGTCTTCCCCCCTGATCCTTCATCCAGAAATAGAATTCCAAGTTTCGATTGGTCGATAAAATGGATCAATCGAGGATGGGTGGTGTGGGTGAAAGATTTCGTCTTTTCTTAACGCACACCGACAACCACACGCACCCTATGATAAGTTCAAGAATATGAATCACTTATTTGGTATTTTGATTGACTTTCTTTATTAGCATATTCATAAGAACAGCTACAAATCAATCATTTAGAATCAACATGTGAAATCGAAGTTAGCTTTCAATAAGTTATTACTCGATTCGAACATCAGTACAACCACGGAAAGTTTCTTGCTTGCCATAACCCATGCCTTCTTTTCCATCGCTTGATCCCCATCGATTGGCACATGTCCAGTCCCATTGCAAAACACATCGGTTGCAAGTCAAACCATCAGGCAGTTTTACTTTAAAATTATATGCAGGTGGATTTCAATTGGAAGCAACATTTTGTGTATGACCCATGTGAAAAAAAATTATTCAAAAATCACACAATAATCGTTTTTAATCATACGAGGATCATCCTTTAATCGATTATTTCGAAAATATCGATTTTAATCGATTCGTGTTATTTGATTATAGATCGATGTTTTCAAAGTAATCGATTAAAGGATGATTCTCGTATGATTATTTCAGCTAAAATTTTTGATTATAATCGTATGATTAAAGTCGATCATTTTATGATTTTTGAATAAATTGTTTTTACATTGGCAGTACCTGAGATATCCCAACGGTAAGCATTTGTGATTGTAGTAGGGGCTTCCACAATCCTAAGTGGATATCGGTCAAGACATTCTTGTGTCACTTCCACAGCATCGTTTGTTACTGGACAAACCTTGAAGTTGAACCAACCCAAATGATTAGCCATCATTTCAATACGCACATCGATCATTGCTCCCGATCTGTAAGTACCAAGAATAGTTCCCGTAAAATATTTACCATTCGGTGCTTCATTATTACGAGGTCCATCGATAGGATCACCACACACACCACATTTTCCTTCCATTTTCCAGTGATGCTATTTTAATGAAAAATGGTAAATCATAGAGTTTTAGTTACTACCTATGCACTTTGCATGATGGATCGCATTCACTGAGAGAAAGAACAATAGTACAATGAAGACTCGTAACTGAATTTACATCGAAGACAACAAAAACTTGACTACTTTTGGGATTCGTCATCTACGACTCATCTTGAGCAACACACAGCAACTCCTGGAACAGACTATTATATGTAATGATACCGGAGTTTTTTCGATACAACATATTCAATCAGGCTGATATTGCTCAGAAAAAAAATGCAAGAGAAACCATTAAACTAGCTTACTAATATCACCATAGATGCTTATTCAAAGTTATTATATATTTCACTTCGTACATTTTTGAATTCTGATATTCTGATGATGAACAATCCACTTTCGATAAAATATGTTTTATTACTCAGAGCAACAACTATGTAAGAGTTAAAGTATCATTCCTATGTATAGTCTTATTATTCTCGGAAGTTTGTTTGTCATCCATATTACTTTTTGATCTATCAAATTGTATATTTTTTTTTCAAAATGAAAACATAAGAAGATAGTGAAAGACAAAGTGCCATCGGTTTTACTCTAGAAATTAAATTTTTTCGTTTTCAATCTAGTATATCATAATCTTGAATAACAAAAAACAATTATGATATTTCATTTTCAATCTGACAGATACAACTACATACATCTTAGGCGAAAACAATAATTCTTTGAATGGTATAATAGTGATTTATACTACAAAGATAGTTGTAGAGATAATATATGCCATGAAACATAAACTTTGAAAAAGACTTCTGTCATATACACTTGAAAATTTTTTACTTCTTAATATCCACCGGGAAGATTACTGATGAGAGGGGCAAATTCTTTCGAGACTCTAGGTTTTACTGAAAATTGAATGTATGATAACTGATTGCAATCGAATTCAAGTGATAATTAAATATCAAAATCATATTCAGAATATAAAATTGTGTCAACCTTCATAATTATGGTTTTATATATTCTAATTATGTTTATATCCGTTGAATAAATTGAAATAGATTCTTTCAGTGTTAGGTTACAAACTGAAATAAATTCAATTTTTTATCTGATGTCATTTATCTCACTACTTTTTGAACATCAGTAATTTAAAAATAGTTGATCCACTCGTTAAATGTATTTCCAGTAGATATTGAGAAAGTAGTGCAAGTCCATGAATATGTTATTTAGAGAGATGATATTCTCATTTGAGACAAATTCTCTTGAAACTGTCAATCAGAAATATGAGATAAAGTACTTTGTTTCTGTATTTAAAATGTACGGATGGATCAGACTGCAAATGAAGAAATGAAGTAGTCTATTAAACAAACTTGTGAACAAGTTAAAGAATAATATTAGTTGAAACCTATAACTCCACAACAATTGATAATGTATCGATCTTAGATTTAACAATCCTCATTTCTTTTCAGCCCTACATGTGTAACAGGGGTGGAACCGGTTGAGAAATATTAAAACGGTCCGGTCCGGCCGGAAACCGGCCGGTTGGAATCACATGTCCAACCGGTGAAATTCCGGTGAAAATCGGTTAAAAACCGGTGAAAAAATGTCGAATTTTTTTTTGAAAACCTATTTTTAGAAAAAATGGCTCCAAATATGAAATAGTTTAAGGCGCATGTAAAAGGCACTCATCATAATAAATCTTTTTAAAGAGAACCTCAGAAAAAACGATTAATATAACATATATTTTGAGTACTTTTTCACGTATTCTGACAGAAAAAACATGTGATACCTTAGTTTTTATGGTCAAAAACAGGGTTAACAAAGAAGATTTCTGAAAACTTTCAACCGGTAAAATTCCGGTCTTTACCGGCCCGGTCGATTTCTTCAACCGGTCCGGCCGGACCGGTACCGGTTTGCCGGACCGGTTCCAACCCTGATGTGTAATGATAAGTCCTTCAATAAGTTAAACTAGCGTCTAGACCTATATCTATTCTTTGACTCACCTCATATCCACCACAATTCAATTCAAAGTCATTGTAGTTTTTAGGAGTATCGAAGCCAAACTGCCATGCTCAACTGCGACCTGGAGGAAGAGCCAGTCTTCCATGGCTATTTACAGATCCAACAAAGATTAGTACAATAAAGAATTTGAACATGATTCTATTATGATAATCTAAGAATTGTAACATATGATCCATAATCAAAGTGTGAAATTAAGGTTCGTGATTTAGCTCGATCATTTATAGCATGTTAAGCTGAGTCAGATAGATGCCATGAGGAACTTTTCAAACAAATAAATTTGAAACTCAAAATATCTGGGATCAATATCGAATTATGAAGGGTAAGAATGAGTGTAGATGAAGAAGTAACGGACAAGTTCACATTTTGATTAGCCATTTAAAATGGACCAATGAATTTCCAGAGGATTTCTATATCTTACAAGGAATATAACTATGAATGTTGTTTGGAACGTTCCTGTGGCATATGGTTCTCTTCTAAATGACTCGAATATAATATATATATATATATATATGCTTGGGCTCCCAAATTGTTGAGAAATCCAATCGAGATATCTAAATTGTCTGTTCGACGAATCAAGAATTCCCTATAAGACGTTTATTTCGTTGATAGTCATGAAAAACACTTATTAGCACTGACCGATCACGATCTGTCTCATCTAAAAAAGACTGAAAAAATCCGATTCTAAGCGAACTTTTTGCTACATTTTATTTCTATCTGCTTTATACCTCGATTCAGCTCTAATACATGCTGTTCTCCTATATATAGCGTTAGCGGTTTCGAATAGAGTAAAAAATCGCATTTTTGAATCCAACCATTAATATTTAAAAATCGATTTCTAATAAACGTTACTCCTACCTGTATTACGACTGAAATGAAGCTTAATATGTGAAGTGCTTATTCATATTGGATGAGTAGCGTCTCAAAACTCTGAGAAGTTTTATTGTTTGATCCAGTTATTAATACACAAAAAGAGAGTTTCAATGGACGTTACTACTACTTATGTTGTCACTCGAATGAACACTAGCACGTAATGTACTGTAAAAGAAAGAATGGGTAAGAAATGCTGAGTCGATGTCAATAACAAATTTTTCTTCACTAAAATGCGTAGTTGAAAGTTTGTTTCTCGAGTGAAATAGTGTAATAAAACATGCTCTATAAAATGGCTTGAGAGTGGGTGTGGGTGAGGATGCAGCTAGAAAATTGAATACCCCCCCCCCCCACACACACACTTAAATAATGCTAATCATGATTTTATATTGAAATGTATTCATTTAATAACATATTTTCATAAATTTTTATAAAAAATATATTTGAATTAATTAACAAATTTATTTAAATGAATTGTAAATTAAAAACATTTTTGTTAATTATACTGATGAATATTTGAAATCTATTTAATGAAATATTTTCTTTAATATAAATATAATTCATTAAACTATTAAAATCAATGAAAAATGTAATGTAACTATTTCAATATATATAAATTAATAATAGATTTTTAATTCAAATAGTAATACGAGTAATTATTATTGTTAAAGTATGATCATTAATATCTATATATTTGCGCTTCAGACATGATAGAGCATGACTTTTTGAACCAATTATATATCATAAGAACAGTAAACTAAATTAATACAAAAACAATAAAAAAAATTATATTTTATTTATCATTTTCCAATAAATATAAATCAATTAATTATTGATTTACATGTATATGCAAATAGTTCTAATGCATTTTCATTCATATGATTGACTTTAAATTAAAATATAAATCATATATTACATGTAATCAAAATTAAAAAAATATCATTTAATAATGAATTTATACTAATTAAACAAGTGTAACATGATTTATTAAATTGTTTATTATAAATTAATAAGCTACAGATTAGTAAATATCATATAAAGATGTTAATTTTTTTTTCAATAAAACATTGTGTTGATAAATAATACGGTTTAAAATTTTAGTATATTATCATTAAGATCTTTGATGACGATAATCATATCAGTCGATGCGTTATTTTGATTAAAATACTATAAGATGAAGTAAATTAATATTTCGTTTTTTCATGATCAAATTTTTTAACGGTTATTCCAATTTTGTAAGTCACTTGAATATGTTATTACATTTTCATCATTATTTTCTTCTATTTCAATTATTTTATTAAAAGGATTGTAGCAGCATGTATCCAGAAAAATCAAGAAAAGTAGACTTCATTTTAATTGTCATTTTCAAAATCAAACTTGTATAAACGTACAGAGAATATCAATAGTTAACCTTGTCCGAGTCAGAGCTAAATTAATTCATTGAATCCCATTGAGATTATGTAGTTAATTGCTATTTGCATCAAAAAGGTCTTTATAAAAGCTCTAAACTTATTTACAGCTAGTGCTCGCCACTTCCATAGAGATGACGATGAGATATTTTTTTTAATTTCCGTAGGAGACTACGGATATGATCAAAATTCGATTGGATCTTATCTAAGCATCAAAGTTTGAGGTGTAACTAGAAATCACTTCTAACTTAATCTTGAGAGTAAAAATCAAGCTGTTTCGCGAGCAACGAAGAGACATTGTCTGCCCTTCTTTTTAGACTGGAAATGGCGCTGCAAAGTCTTATCAAGTTTACGATCTTAATGGTCTAATTAAGATGATAATTATTTTATAGCTATGTACACTGAAATCTCCTCTATGTAATAGAGAAAACATTTTCTTGATATTTTTTTGTGTTGGTCAGTAACTCAAGAATTATGAAACTTGTAAAAATCGTACTATATTTAGCATGGTGGATCTATAAGTATTAGTTAACATATATTTTTCTGATTGGACATATCTGATAGAATAATTTAATAGTTTGTTTATTTTAAACTTCATCAATAAGAAAATAAATTTAGCTGAAAAATAAGATATCGTTTGCGATTCATGTTTTAACGTATTCTGCTCTGATATGTAATTAAATATGGTAGTTGTCCTTTTAT